TTACTGGGTGACACATCATCCCCTTTATATTATCTGGCATTGCGCTCAATACACACAGTTCTGGCATTTCTTTTGAGTGTACTTAAAGGTAAAGGTTAACCTTGACAATTTTTGTCCAGTCGTGTTCGACTCTAGGGGGCGGTGCTCATCCCCGTTTCCAAGCCATAGAGCCAGCGTTTTGTCTGAAGACAATCTTCCGTGGTCACATGGGCAGTGCAACTTAGACATGGAATGCTGTTACCTTCCCACCGAGGTGGTCCCTATTTATCTACTTGCATTTACATGCTTTCGAACCGCTAGGTTGGTGGGAGCTGGGACAAGCGACGCGCACTCACTCCGTCACGTGGATTTGATCTTACGATTGCTTGGTCTTCTGACCCTGCAGCACAGGCTTCTGCGGTTTAGTCTGCAGCGCCACCCACGGCCCCTACTGTACAGTAGCTAGAAAAACTGAGGTTAAAAATCGAACTATTGCTTTGGATGTTGCTTTCCCTTTCAAAATATGGAAGAAAACAGAATCACAGAAACAAAAGAAGCACATTGAGAAAATGGGAGAAGTGAACGGAATGTATACTATGTTAGGCCTGTTGAATGTATTTCTAAGACAAAAGGAGGGTGAAAGAGGGGATGTATCTTACAACTGGTCTTGGTGTTCTGATGGTGTTGGAATTTAAGCTATAATATAATTGCAAGTTGAAAGCTAGGGGGTAATCAAATAGTTTAAAAAAAGTGGAAAGATGAGCTCTTACTGGAAAATGAATAGATTATATGCTTATATACTTAATATGAAAAGATTGAATGATTATATATTTGATGTTCTCTTATCCTCAAAACCCTTTTCCCATCCCTTCCACCGCCCTTTACCTTCTGTATTCCTTACCCTATCCTTAATAGTTTTGAAAATAAATTTAATAAAGAAAAGCATATGCAGATGCTGACTGGGCAACTGATCCTGCAGATAGAAAGGCAATTTGTGGTTTAGCATTTTATCTGGGGGAGGCTTGTGTGATGTTGACATCCAGGAAACAATCAAGAATTTCCAAAAGTGACACAAAAGCAGAAATATGTCATTTGCATGAGTTAACTAAAGAACGAGTGTGGATCGAACTTAAAGATTTAAATGTTAATGTAACTGAGCCTGTGCCTATTTTTATGGATAACACGGCATGTATCAGTTTATTTGAGAATACAAGTGTAAAAGGCAGAACCAAACACATATGTACAAAATACTATTGCTGAATATCCCTCTTCTAGTAGAACGGGAATGTTCAAAACTTTATTTAGGTGGGGTGTCAAGGTATTTGTAATGGACTCACAGAGCTGGGAGCAGCCAGCCAACCAATCAGCCAGGAAAGGGTCAAAGGGGGGGGTGTGATGGGCCTGACCAGTGAGTGAGTGAGTGAGTGAGTGAGTGAGTGAAGGGGGGAGATCAGGAAAATTTGTTTTATTATCCTTTTATAAGCCACGTGTTAAGATTGCCAGAATACCCGCTAATCCATTTTGGAGGAATCCTCAAGGGATTTTCGCTACCACCGGACCCAGTGAAAGAGGGCAGACAGGAAAAATTAACAAAGAAACTTCAGGCAGCCAAAGGAATAAAATCCCCTCCATCAAACCTCATTTATTTATTGAGGAGGGAGAACCTTTCATCATAGATATCGATGAGTAGCAAAACTATTATCAGCCTCTGAGGCTCTTTCATTTGGGGACATTGAGAGCCAAGTTGAAATATGAACATTTTAAGAGCATGCTTCGAAGCTCACATATCCCACGTCTGCAATGGGACAGACAGGTGAGAGGAGGGAGTAAGTAATGAGAATGGCTACTGCATTATATATCTGCAAATTGATTTAAAAAAAAAAGTAAGTTAAATCCAAAACCTGCACCAGATCCCAACTCTCCAGTCAGGTGCAGCAGCAGCAGAACAAAATTCTTTCTTAAATGTCCGGTCCTGTTTTTGACTGTGGCACAGGAGCTTTGGGCTCCCGACACACGAGATCGGGGTGCTTCCGTTGACCAAGGCATCTCGGGGGGGGGGGGCACC